CCCCAAAACCCCAAAACCCCAAAACCCCATGAGTAAAATAAGACAGATTTAGAAAATTAATAGAATTGAAATAATAACTTAATTACGAAATCATAAGAGCATTAGTAAAATCAGTATTCATTTCATATTTTGCTAAGAAATTACTTTTATTTATCATTAGGATAGGCAATAATTAACGGGTTTACATTCAGCTTTTGCTCTTTAGTTCCATCTGTTATCCTATTTTATATTGAAATGTTAGTGAAAAGAGTTGAATTCATCACTTATTGATTCTCGCATAATATCACTGCATAGATAAGGAATTTTTTAGGCATCTGGTACCTGAGATAAGAAGACTTAATTGGATTTTATCTAATGTCTAAGAGCTGCAGTTTCATCGTATATCTGAATATCTAGAGTTCAGTGGCGTCCTTCATGTCATTGAAAGGCGCTTTGATCTGGATTATATTGTTCTTTGGGACTAATAAGTACTAAAGCCTCCTCAAATGCTTAGACTCAAATAACTGTAAAAGTCCATCTGCGGTAATTTAGCAATTCCTCAATTTTAAATACTCTAAATTAACAAAAGCACTGGACTCAGCAATAAATTAAACTTGCATATCACCTTTCAAAGAACTACTTAAGTCTAATCTTTTAAGCTAGATGAAACCCATTTGATTTGAAATTTTCTGGATAGTCATATCTGCAAGTGGTTTTGTAAGAAATTTGTTTGATACAAGGTTTATGTTAGTTAATATGTTGCAGTGCTTTTGAAAGCCTTTCATCAGGGCTTGATATGATTCCTCGAAAAAGTTATGAGAAATGTCTACTTCAAAGAGATTAATGAATCTTGAGAGCTAATTAATCAAACTCTTTAATACGAATTCATCGTCAAGCGAGCACTCAACCATCAGCAGACTTTCCAAAGATCTTCCTTCGATTAAGCCAAAATCTTTTTAGACAAAGCTATTACCGAGATTTCCTAAGTTGTTATAAGAGATATTAAGGTAATTGAGTTGATGAAGTGAGATTTTCGCAGCTTAAAACTCTTTCATCGGGACTTCATTTAATTAAGAATTCTTTATCTTGCAAGAAAAGAGTACTAACCTTCTCAAGTTTGATAAACAAGAATATTCAGCATTTAGTAGGTACAACAGTCCTGTAAGTTTGATGGGGTTACAGGAGAGGTCAAGTGATCTTAGTTACCTGAACACAGGATTAGAGGCTATATCTTGGCATTCACTTGGCAATATTTTGCAGCCGCTTAATCTTAGCTCAACTAAAATTTGCCTAGGTTGAAGTACCTAGAACAATGTAGCGAAGGGAAATATCACATTTTCAAAGTCTAATTTGTGCTTATTATGCTTTTCTTTACAGTACTCTATTACTTCATTAGCAATTTCTTCAGGATTATCACCGAATATATCATATTAGCAAAGCTCTATTACTTGATTGTCAGAATAGTTCTAGCACTAATACATGTTCTCTAAATAGTCCTCCTCATCTTCAGTGAGTTTGAACTCTTCAAAGGTTTTAACTTTGTTTTCAGGGGCAAAAACTCTCTTATTGTTAAGTGAGAATGGCAGTTTTGCTTGTTTGGTAGAGCTTTTTGGGGATTTGTTCTGTGATCTTGGCTAAGGGGAGGTGGAGTCTCCAAGTTTAGCTCTAGTAGCTGATCTAGATCGCCTCTTTGACATTTGAATTCAATTTTTAAATAACTTAATTAACTTTAATAATTGCGGAAAAACTGGTCTTGATTTGTTTCATGGGGTTTTGGGGTTTTGGGGTTTTGGGG